TCACATTTCAGAGGATCGCCACTGTGGTGTTACCTGATCTATACTGACTCCGTGCCTTTATCTGGAATCTATCGAATAGATCCTTTACAGTGGAATATTAAAATATGAGCAAGCACATCAGAAATCTGAGGCGGCACTTATCAGCAGAGGCTGCATCTGTGTAGCATACAACCATGTGAGCAAGCGTTAGTGTGACAGTACAAAGCGACTTGAGCTGCAAAGCGTCTAGAGCTGTGATAACTTGTGACATGTGGAGATTGGCCACATTCCTTTACAAAAACAACCTCTCTGCTTTGTGGCTTTCTGTGTTTTTGTTTTGACTACGCACCGAATCCTGCAGCCAAGTATCAGGATAAAAAGACTGGAAGCAGATATATGGTGATTACATTCACTAATTTTCACCGCTTTTTAAACTTTCTGTTCTGGTAATCTGTTAATTGGCATCACAAAATCTCCACAGCGCCGATTTATGGAGCGCGTCCCGTCCTTGACGGCAGACAGTCGCGTCCGTCCAGTCAGGCGGATGTTGTTCTGTGCAGGGTTGAGTCAAAGCTTAATGCCGCCACGTGTCTCCACAAGGGATCATGAGGGTTTCATTAACTTGATATCATTTTTGCTGCAAAGATGAGCTTTGGTTGCAACAACACTCCAGTCAGAAGTCAATATCTTGGAAAAGGATAAATAATCTAAGGATCTTTCTTAATTTCCAGGTCACACACACGTCCAGCAGCGATTCAGGGAAACACAATCTGCCCAGAGGAAAACACCAGTGAACTCAAACCTTCAAAAATGTTTGTAAATGCAACTTTTTATTCAGTGTCATCCTGATGATTTCAGCAAAATTTATGCCAAATCGTATTTTAGAATTAGTTTTAATAAAAATTGAATGTTGATGGCAGATTTACCTTTGACCATACTTAAAAAACGTCTTCTAAAATATACTGTGCAAAAATGTTAAATATTTTCTCTTTTTTTTACATTTTACTCCTGTTGAGCAAGACATTTTATTACTTTTAAAGTGGTCAAGATAAATGTTCTCATGTCTTTTAGAGTTTCATGGTTTTTGGCTGCTTCTCATTTGCTTCATGGCCAAAGAACTGGACCTGCACAAGAAAAACAGACAAGTGGAGGACAAAAAAAGACATGCAAATCAAAAACCTTTTGGTGTTAAAGTCAGGAATTTAAAAGGACAGAAGAAACTCCAGTGAAAACTTGACCCAGGAGATAATGTATTCATAAAATGATCTGTTTACTTATTTTCCAGCTAATAGATCTTTGAGAACTTGCTGAAGCTAAAATAGTATTTTATCTTTTCGTTCCCCTCAGAGATTAAACCAAAAGGAATGAGATGAAATTATGTCTATGTGCTTAAGACAAAGTGCATCATGATCTACTCTACATGTGGTCCAAAGCACCAGAAGAAAGACTCGAGACTTTTGCACAGTTCTATGAGTTTCCAAAAGTCCAAAAGAAGAGTTTTCTCATAAGATGTTGTTTTCTGACCCTAATCCTCTGGGCATACCGACCCGCATGATTTAAACGTTTTCTGCTTCAAAACACCTGGTTTAATTTCATAAATCTTTATCAGCTTGTGTTTGCAACATGATAAAATGCTCTAAAGATAATTCACGCTTTTAAATTAGTTGCATGAACCCACCTAAATCATAAAAGACAGCACAATCCATGCACCTAGATTAGGAAAACATTTGTATACAGACCAGTAACCTTCAGGGAAAAAAAACTTGACTTTATTAAAGGTCAGAAGGTTAACATCACCTAAGAAAGCAATAAAAATCAGCTGATGTTCATTGTGTTCTGCTAAATACAGACAAGCCCATTTTAAAGTGAGGTGTGTAACATTGTGATAAAACAGCTGACATTTTCATGCCAACCGAAAAAAACACACCGTAAGCCGAGAGGTCAGCCTGGGTCAGCTGGGACCTACGAATGTATGCCTTCCATTCTTGCCCTTTCATTCTCTGTTCGCCTCGAGGAGAACAAGCCTTTGCTGGACCATGCTAACACAGACCAGAGCTGCTGTCATGCTCTGCAGCTACAGAAGAGGCTGATAAGTCAGAAAGTGTGACAGGAGGGAAACATGTTGCCCTTCTGCAGCCCTCTTACTCTGTTCACCCACTTCCCCATTCCTCCGCAGATCCCGTGTGATACAGATATTGAGGGCTTGCGTTTGGTATTCAAAGGGAAACAACGACGTCCGATCCGGCCCGTTAGCGCCAAACTATGCAGGAACCGAGGTCATCGCTCGTTTCTATCTGCCGGGATTCCAGTCGTGTTTTGTGGAAGAGGCTGTTTCCCTTGGCTGACGACAGATTCATAAACAGCACCGCTGTGCGGCGTAGGGATTTAGATAGTGTTTCCAGCTGAGCCCTTCTGCCAGCGATAATAACGATCCACTGACAGCCTCATAGTTTGGACCGATGATTTTCAGATGTGTCACAGGCTGAAATACGTTAAATCAAAACTCTTAAACTGAAACGACCGCTTAAAAATAAACACACCAACAACTGTAAAAGCTTATGGTGCCACAGTGACCATCCAGAGTAAATGAAAAATTTTATTGCAACATTTACACTTTTGTCTAATTTTGCAACTATTAGGGTTAAACTGTGGGAACAGCGTTAATTAGTTCGACGATTATTGCTTCCCCAATCATATAAACAACATAAAAAAAGATGCAGAAGTCTGCTAAGTGATTTTACATCTTTCTTAATTATGTCCTCCTCTAACTCTAATTGGTTTTGGAGCCACTTTTATGTCTAAGACAGCCTTATAACTTGTGTGAGAGTTCATAAAGTCTGTCGTTACCACATATATGAGGGGTGATTCAGATGAGTTAATGAAAACAAAGCTCGCAGTTTGAAGTGTTTTGGCTTGCCAATGTTTCCAAGCAGTTTCTATAGAGACACATACATCAACACTGGCTGAGGTTAAGGGTGTATTTCACTTCTGTAACATGAAAGGAGCTGCAGACAATCAAGCAACAAGATCACCCCCTCCCCTCCCATGAGATCCGTCGTATGTCTGATTGTGAGGGAGCCAGAGGAAGTATCCCCGAGTTGTGGTTAAAGTGCAGCGCCGCATCCTTCCTCTCTCCATGTGAGCCGGCGCTGAAGCCTGACATCAATTAAACCATTAAAACAGATTAACAAGCGAAGGACGCTCCGGATGAGTTGAGAAACACGGAAATGTGCGTTTTGCCTCGATGACCCAGAAGCCCTTTCATTTGCATTTCATCTTCTTGTGAAGCTTTTACTTCTTATGCTGAGTTTCTTTCATTTTGATTTTATTTTTTTTATGAAATGTTTTGCGTCTAACTTTAAAGCTGAAAGAGAAATCCAGAATGCAAACACAGAATGTTTCAGATCGCACTTCTGCGTCGGAGTCCTCTCGGGAAGGGAGACGGGAGAGGATAATTGCAAGTCGTTAAGCCCTCCACATGTCTATTTTGCAAGACGGAGTAGCTGTCTAAATGACTGAGGCCTAATGCAGCAATTAGCTTCTATAAACACAGACACGGAGAGCAGCCAGTGCATCTGCTAGCTCTTCTGTTCTCCAACACTCACAGACGACTCTAATCCTTGGTGAATTTGCTGATTGCACATTCAGTAAAAATAACACATTAACCCCCAACCTTAAAATCACAAGACAGAGTCAGATTGCAGCAGGAAAGGTGGAGATTATCAAACCAAAACTGAACAGAATGTAAATTGTATGAACACTTCACATAGTAAAAAAAAAAAGTTCAACTTCATATTTCCTGCGGCTATTTTAAGTTATTTTTAGCGAAAATGTCTTTTTAGGTTGCAGCAGTCGTCCCAAGAACTTAAAGTATTTGACTTGTTCTTTGATTTTCACCTTTAAAATGCTAATTAAAGTGAATTATTATTAAAATGTTCTGGACAGAAACAAGCTTGAAAATATAGGATCATTGATCTGTGAGATAAATGAATTATAGAAGATATTCAAACAAGATGGTGGGTTTAGACTTAATGATTATTAAGACACATTTCTTCTGTATTAATTGAACTTGTACTTTAATCTGAAAAAATTAAAGTATGCTTTCTACATCATTAACCTAACAAAATCAGTTTGATTTCTTTCATAGTGCAAATTAACAACAAATATCATCTCGAGGTACTCCATAAAAAACAGAAAAGATAAAAAATTGCTGAAGCGTTGTTGCTACCTTTGCAACGGTCCCTGCAATTTGGCTTCAAACATCCATGAAGCCAAATTAATCCAACATCTAACTTTATCGAAATATACTGCAACAGGCAAGAGATTTTTAGTTCTTGAACATCTTAAGTTCAAAAACTTAAGACGTTGACACGTATCTGCAGTCAAGATCACAGACGCTAGTCTCTACTGCAGACATACGGCCTTTCATCTAAAATAAAGTCGTTAAGTACGATGCCCCTGCACATTGGCAGCATAAATAAGCAGTAGGAGGGAGCACAACCCTAAAAGCCAGGGCTCTTTGGCAACACATGAAACTGAAACACATGAAACAGATACTAAAGTATCTGTTTCATGTGTTTCAGCGAAGCAATAAGAAGTTGTAAAATGACAGCCGACTTTTTCTGGTGCCTTTATAAACCAAAGACATTATTGTCTAAGCTGTGATTCAAAGGAGGAGAGCAGATTATGATGAGGTCTGCTGGGAATCAGAGTCAAAGGAGAGCAGAGCAGCAAACGCTTCTAAAACATCAAAAAACACAAAACAATAGAACATTGTTTCTCCTGCCCTTTCAACATATTACTGGATTTGTAAAACATAATTTGTTCTCTGAACACCCAAGCGGACAGGATGCACATTTAACTCGAACGCTCAAAAAATTGAGCAGCCTTTCGCCTGGCTCAATACACACGTTTGGTCTTGCAGTAAAACCGGGTAAAAGAAGAATTTTACGTCTGTGAGGCGGTTTGAGAACCATAGACTTGTTGGTATGAACGACAGACAGATTGGTAGAATTTCCCACCTGTACATTCGTGCTTCAGACCCTTGCCGTAGTATCCCTTCTCACAGATGCAGTCGTACTGTCCTGTGTGCATACCGCACTTACAGCTGGCCATCACGTCACAGCAGTCCTTGCCCTCATCGCACAGGGAGGAGCAGCGGGAAAGGTCCTCCTGGATGTAGCTCCCTGTTGGGAGGTCTGGAGGTGAAAACAAGTGCAAGTTTATAGCAAAGCGTTGTTAAGTTTCATGATGAGTTTATCATAACATCCTTCCAGAAGAAAGACAAAACTAAACAACAACTAATTGAGAATAAAAGGAAATTTGCCTGCAAAAATAAAGAGCAATTGGCAATAATTGTAATGTTTCCATCACGCTAAAATGCAACTTTCTGAGGGGAAATAATCTCACTCTGAAGTCTCAGTGCATAACAAGTTGGGCCATTTACTGGGAGTTGTGTCGAAACTGTCATGACAAAAAAAATAAAAATAAGAATTAAACATATTGATACAAATAGGTCCAAGTTTTCTTATTTTTTGGGGAAACTGCTGAAATGATAAGTCAGTGACAGCTTCTCTAATAATCGATTTATAATGTGGCTGACTGCTTTGAATGATGGCGTATGTCAAACTTTAATTTCCCCCAACATTCACTCGTTCTGCCAACCTTTCCTGACGCGCTTACATCTGGAATTTGACTGTATGTAGAAACTCTCGCCTCGTCTACCTGCACGCACATGCACATGATTTACAGCTCCCTCCAAACTTAGCATGCCCTCGGCTGGGATGTTTTATGGAGCTAGCATGGCCTTTAAAGCCATGAACAAACCCATTTTTAACCACATCACAGGAAGTCCTTTCCTACTGTGAGAAAATGGATTTGCTGTTTGATGTATGGAAGTGAGCTCTGATGGTTATAGGCGAAACAAAACAGAAGAAAGTATCTGCCCTGCATATGTTGTCAGATTGTGGATGAAATATTACTCCATTCCTTTTAAATGAGGACTGGATGTTATCCGGGTTTTTAAAAAAAGAGATGCAATAAAAACAGAGATTGCTTTAGGTCAAATGGTGATGGGAAAATTAAAGCTTCAAAGAAGGAGATGATATTAGCTTAGCTTCTGTTTGCCAAAACCTTAAGCTACCTTTTAACCTAAAGTTTCAAATTTTTTGTACGTCTCATTTTTTCTGGTTGCCGACATAAAGTTCCCTTAGGTATAAAGTTCTCTATAAAATAGACAAAAGAGACCAATAAATGTTAAAAATGAGCCTGTCTTGCTGCTGACTACGTTACACAGAGGGAAGTCAGAATATGTTGAGGTTTCCTTGCCATATGTCCCAGCAGCCACATTTATTTGCACAGAATCCTGTTAAAACTGAATATTTTGTTTATACTGTAGTTCTGCAGATTACCTAAACAAAACCATTTTTCCAATATTTAGAGTGAAAGGTCAAATCTTGATCTGATTGAGTTTGTTTCAGCAAAAGGGAGTAACACTATGCATTGGAGGGTGTCCTTACGTATTCCTCAAAACAGCAATTTAAGACATTAAAACATGAAAATTAAACATTTTTTCAAAGAAATAACTCAATATGAAACCCTAAGCATCCAACATGGGGTGCAGACGATCCAGCCTAATTTCCTGTACTGTAATTCCGCCACACTTTGCATTATCTGAAAAACTCCAACAGTTTCTGAAAGAGGAGACGTTGCGCTTACCAGCCAATCTCGGGTTATTATGGTAATTTCACCACTGCCGTAGCAGGGAGTGAAATTAATCTGAGGACCATTAATAGATGGTAAATTCTGAAAATAACTTCTAGATATTGAAAGTTCCAGTTGTTATGAATGAATGGGCAAATATATTTACTCACAAGACATTTAATGAACTACGCAAGATTAAAATAAACAAAAAATATCTAGGCGGAAAGTTTAGATTCAGGACATAAAAAAAGATGACCTGATTTTATTAATAAGACATTATCTCAAGAGGACCAAGTACTCAAGAAGGTCATTATGAGGCAACATAGTGTCTGGTCTTTGGAAAAAAGATGTTGCAGTGAAAGAGGAAATGTAATATTTGATTATTCATGTTTGAAATTTGATTTCTTTAAGGCCAGAAATGTAAGCTAGAAACTTCCAAGATTCTGCATCACTCCTCCATACCTTCATGCAGAGCGCGGCGGGCGAGCGCCTCAAACTCGGCAAAGTTGTGCACCAGGTAGCAGTGCTGGTCCTTGGGTTGGGAGGCCATGTCGTGCAGCTCCCTGATGTTTCCCTGCCAGATGCCCAGAGTGAAGATCTCAACGCCTCGCTCTCTCAGAGCGGCCGCCACCGGTCGAGGGTCGCCCCCGTTAGAGTAGCCGTCAGTGATGAGGAAGATCGCCTTGGTAGCGTTCCCGCGGGAGTTACGGAGAATTTGCTGTTGGAGAAGAAGATATTTACAGTTATTATGCATCCAACTTTTTAATAGCACAACAAGTTTCTTGCAAGCTTCATTTCGCTCTTGTATGTTTTAGGTTATGCTGTATGCTAGAATGCAACATACCCCTTCAATGATCTTTCAATGATCTCCTTCAAATGTTTCAAAAACGTGCGCAACATTGCACTTGCACCGGAGATATTGTCAAAATGATGTTTAAGTTGATATAGTCTTTGCTGTCACTGCGTATGTCATAGGTCTGACAGTTCAGGCACACATCCCACACACTGCTGCCAACATCGCCCCAACTTTAGTGACCTGACTAAATCGGATACAAAAGAACGTCACACAAGACCACTAACAACAGCCCATATTTCTATGGTTCCAAAAAACCCTACATCAGCGTCGCAGCCAGAAAGGGAAGGATGGGAAGAGGGAGCAGAAAACGGGAGCAAGCTCTACCATTGTAATTATTTCTCCAACAGACTGTGCAGCTGCTCGTCAGCGGTCTGAAACCACTGGCGAACACCGAGTCTTCAGGCCGGGCTCTTGCGCACGCCCCAGACACCAGCTACAGTTCTCAAACTAACTTTAGCCGGCGTTTACGATCCACCACATACAATTAGAAAAAAAACATTAGTCACAGCAACATATCTTTCTCTGCAGAATAAAGAAACAACACAACTTTCTGCCAGCATTACTCAAGAGGGAGCGAGCAATGGGGGCGTTGGACTGCTCCGCGTGTTTTTAAGATATGTAGAGAAAACTCTGGGAATAATGGACGAGAAAATACGAAAAGCAAAAGCAGCCAAGGCGAAGCCAGAACGACAGTGCTCCACCTACAGACTTACTTAAGCATAATCAAACATGAAGGACCTTTTATTCTCCATCCAAGAAGGGGACAATAGCTCTAGATGATGGAGCATTACAGCTGAAGAGAGCAAAGACTTGCAAGGGTGTGACCACAGACAGAACGAAACGGGAGACAAGGCAGAGAAAGGCTCTGGACTTTATTGTCTAACTGGCTGCACTTGCAGCAGCTTTGGCAGGAGTACTATAATTAAAGAGCTTGAGAAGAAAAGAGAGAGGATGGAAAGAGAACAGACAAAAACGGGGAAAACTCCAGGTCGTCTGCTGTTCTGGTTGTCAGTCTGCAGATGCTGACTACACCCAACTCCACCATGAAAAGCTTCAACTGTCTTTGCTCCATTCTGACTAATAGCATCTGTTGTAATTTTTCCTGTACAAGCAGCGGCAGACCATGAATGAACGGTGCTTTAAGCGAGCCTCTTCTTTCACCGTCCAACCATTCAAAATGGAGGAAGTCAACCGAGACCCTGGAGTCTCAAACAAAGAATGGCACCAGGTCTTTCTATTCTCTGCAGCAGACTTGAGTCGCCAACTCAGCAGATCAAGAAACCCAGAGCCTGCAAGTAACTTTATTTGTGCCTCCCTTTTTAATACCACCGCAAAAACAGTAAAACTGTTTTGAATTTGTAAACATGTTTGGCTGCTATTTTATTGTTTACCATCTCTTTTCCTAAGAAGTGGCACCGGGTCACAGTGGTTTGTGAGTGGCTGCTGTGAGAGACCGTGGAGACGATACCAAGCGGAGCGTGCCCACTAATAATAGCCTCCCGAACAGCCGTGGCATATTTCAGGTCAGAGTATTAACATAAAGGTGGCCACAGATGCCAGTGTGTGGGAACGCACTGCACTTCTCAGAAACACTCAGGGCGCACCTTATCATTCACGGCACAAAAAGACAGAGCGGAAAAACACATATGCTGCAAACAGCGACGGCTGATAAGAGAAACACATTTTGCAAGTATTGTGGCATACCAGGTCCTTTAACAGAGAGAAAAAAAAAATCTTGATTTAAAGATCTATTTGCTGAGAAGTGAATTAACTGTAAATACAAGCCTCAAGGTTTTGGCCATCAAAGTGTCAAGTTAAGACATCGTAAAGTTTATTTTTAACCCATTTATTTTAAAATAAAAATGATACGGTGCCTGGATTTTTCACATTTCGTCACATTACAACTACTTCGATGTATTTTATTGGGATTTTGGTTGACAGGTCAACACTATATTGTGTCTACCTGAACCAGTTCTCTTTAAATATCATCAGGATAGTAAATAGAGTCCAGAACTTTAATCTCAGTGTGAATCCAGCTGTTCTCTGGAGGCCTCAGAGGTTAGCATTAGCTGAAACCAAAGAAATATCTGAAAATCAGTAAGTGTGAGGTAAGAGAAAAACCTACAATAACATGACCGTCCATTTAAGCTGAGGTCTTTAGTAACTCTTGAGGAGATGCAGAGACCAAAGGCTCAGGTGGGAGAATCTGCGCACAGGATAACCATCACAGAGGAGCTCTACAAAAACGTGATTTCTATGTCAGAGTAGGAAGAAAGTGATCGCATCCAGTTTGCCACTTTGGGAACACGGCACAATTTGATGTGATTGGTTGAATCCAAAACTGAATTTTAAAACTCCTAATCTATCCCTGAATCCAACCTGTGATAAGACTTAAGAGTAGGTGACCTCTTTAAAAAAATAATCTTAAAGAAATGCACAAAGTTGAAAGACATAAAAGTCTTGCTGCAGAACCTTTTATTTTGCATTTGTGTTACTCTGCCACATGCAATTTTACAACGGCTACCAAAAACTATGGAGGATGCAAAGTGACAAAATGTGAAAAAGTAGAAGTGGGGGGAATATATCTGAAAGACACTGGAATATCTCTCAAGCACTTTTAAAGTCTGGACAACATGAATCTCACACAGGTTAAGAAAAGTGACTTATCTTGAATTCTGCGGGACTTTGACATTTCCGGAAAGGCTTTACGTCTACAGTCTGGGTTTAAAGATGACATAATCAATAATGGGACGGGTCTAAGTAGCCTGGGTCCAGTGACATCTATCAAGGACGTAATGACAGCACAGGGACCGGCCGGCCAGGAGGAAACACTGGAAACCGGATTCTCCTCTTTTCCAAAACGCCCTCACACTCTGGCAGGAAGTAACCGAGAGATGAGCCGACCATATGTCGAGGCAGGGATTTCTCCATTATGCTGCACGGGAAAACTTACGCCGTCTGCATTGAGCACATAAATACATTCAAACTCATACAGTGAGCGGTGAAAATACCTGCTGCGAATATCATCTGCCTTTGGTGGAGGCTTCCTTGCTTTATCAGAAATATATATTTTTTCCCCCTTCCAGATGTTTCGACAGACAGCAAAGTGACAGTTTTATCTTTTGGTGTCATCAGCTGTGAAAGCCACTCTTCTCACACCTACACTAACAAAAACTAAAGTGCAACACCCAAACCAGCCCAGAATCAAAAACAAAATGCAAGATGATAAAACAAACAAAAAACAACAACAACAACGCAGGACCGATGGAGCCTAATCAAAAGCAGAATTTTGCCAGGATCAAGATTGATGCTAATGACACTCATGTGGATATCTGGGATCTCTTCAGCCTCTGCTGGTATGCAGCTTGTTTTCTTCTTGGCTGTGCGTCAGAAAAATTATTGTGTCGTGGTCTAAAAAGTCCCTCTGTTCAGCAACCGCAGAAAGAAAATGGAGATTCCATTTGAATGGGAGTTTCCGTAATATTTTTCACAAGATATAAATTAAAGATGTGAATAACAGGTCCAAATATCATTCAGCGGCATCGCCACTGGCCAAATCCATCACGACGATATTCATATGTATGAGGAAATAAAGGAAATACACGATAAGGAAAAAATATAGAGTTTGTGGAGAAGCTAAAGTTAAATTCTTACTGGCTTTATTACCCGGTTTCTTCAAAGAGCCGGTCCAAACTTTGTCGTACCCCCAGGGAAGCAGGTTTATAGAGGCCTGACCTGCAGAAGATCTGGATAAATATTGGCCTCAAACGTTGAATTATTGATTTAATGTGTTGTGAGGACGATGCTCAACTTCGTCCATAAAGCCTTTCATTTTTATGAAGTATCGGTCTTTCCACAATGAGCTCAAGAAATTCCTCAGCAGTCCCCAGACTGCAGCCAGCCGTCCAGATTTAGTTATTTCATCACGCAAAAATCACAGTGAAAACACATTTTAGATGGAGAAACAAAGAAGAAAACAACCAGAAAATCTGACTGGCACACGCCGCTATTAACTTTACTTTCATTATTATTAGACTATTACTGATTATTGCAAGATGGAGAACTTTCTCTGGCAATATCCATCTTGAAATAAATCAAGCAGATAATCAATTGCAGAACAGATGTTTGTCTGATTAGAAGCCGGCATCTCATTTGGCAGAAGAAGTTATGAAAGTTTTGACACCTTGAGGAGCTACTGATGGAGACTCGGAGCTAATCAAAGGCTTCTGCATGCAGAGAGCCGTCCTGGATCCAGACCCGACATCGGCACCACGCTGAGGTCCTCCCATCAGCTGCTCCTCTGGCTTTGATCACGGCTCATTGACTGTTCATTTATTATAACACACCAGAAAACCAGAATCCAAAAATCGAATGGCTACATCCAGCCAGTGATGGAAATAAAAACTGATTTATTTAGGTTAAAAAGTAAAAAAACAATCTTGTGTTCTTTTCTGATTTCAATTGAGAAAAAGTACAATGCATAACTACAGGGACTCCATGGAGAAGAAAAAAGTAAAAGAGGGTTAATCCGTTTGGAAAGTTTTCTTCCTGTCAGTCGGAAGTTCGACGTCTTGTTTGGACAGGCTATCTGCTCTTGGCTTGGGTGGCAAGAACAACAAAACTCCTGCTGGGGCCCAACAGAACAACAGACAGACACAACACTAGACATTATTCAGCAACAATTTAGGATAATTCAAGATAGTCAAGGCCATTCTCAATTAATTTAGATTTTTTTCCCCAACTGCCCCCATATGTTGCACACCATCTTGGCAGCGAATTCTTTACGTTAAGTGCCGTAAAGTGAGATATCTTGAATTTTGCACCTTTTTTCTAGCTCAGCTGCTGTAAGTTTCCCTTTAAGC